CACACCTCCATCATATCTCTAACACACCTCCATCATGTCTCTAACACGCCTCAATCATATCTCTAACACACCTCCATCATATCTCTAACACACCTCCATCATGTCTCTAACACGCATCTCTAACACGCCTCAATCATATCTCTAACACACCTCCATCATATCTCTAACACACCTCCATCATGTCTCTAACACGCCTCAATCATATCTCTAACACACCTCCATCATATCTCTAACACGCCTCCATCATGTCTCTAACACGCCTCCAGACATACAACATAACTAATATGCCTCGGACATAAATTAGACATGCCTATCATTCCTCTGACCTGCTTCAGACATACCTTCAACACGCCTCTGTCATGTCAGCCATCTTGGGAGGGTTTGATTTGAAAGAATGTGAATGTTAATCTGGGTCTTAATCTGTAAATATTTGTTTTCTGCAGCCAATCAGCTGTGAGCTCTGCTCTTCACTCCAAGATGAGGTAATTATTCCAGGTGTTTTCCTCCTGACGTCACTTGTTTGAAGCTCTTTAATAAATGATTCTCCTGGTTGTAACAGTGAAACCATGTTTATATTTTTTAAACTTGKTGTTTCCAGAAGCTTTAGACAATAAAATTCATCTGATCTGATAAAAACTCAAACCATTTCTACCAGGATGGAGCTGCGAGCTCTGAGGAACATCTCAAAGGGAGAGGAGCTGACCTTCAGCTACATGGACCCCCTGAACCTTTCAGCTGATCGTCAGAAGCAGCTAAAGGAGCGTTTCCACTTTGACTGCAGCTGTGAGCGCTGCAGCCAGCACCTCGGTGACGACCTGATGTCAGCCGCTGCAGAAAGCAAAGTGAGTGAAAGTTTCTGTTAATAAAACCAGCTGAAGCCTCTGTTGACATGTTGTGTTTGACCCTCAGCCTCCTGCTGATAAGGTCAAAGAGCTGAAGGCCTTCAGCCAGGACAGTCTGCAGAAGATTGAAACAGCCGAACACGCTGGAGACCACAGCCAGGTGAGCCTGCTGCTGCCGGGCTGCAGGTAAGACCCCCAGAGACCTCCTCCTGAACGTCTCCTGCGTCTCTCAGGTGCTGAAGGTGTGTCAGGAGCTGCTGCAGAAGCAGCAGGACGTTTTGGCCGACACCCACCTGCTCAGGCTGCGAGCTCTGGGCGTGGCCACCGAGGTGCTCTCACACCTGAAGAAGTTCTCTGAGGCGGCAGAGTTCGCCCGGCAGATGGTGGAGGGATACGAGTGAGTGATTCGCCCTCAGAGGGACGGTTTACAACCAGGACCAACAGCCTTCAGCTGCTGAACTCCACCTCTTCCTCTTTAACAGGAAGTTGTCCCACCCCAACAGCCCCCAGCTGGGGACGGTCTTGATGAGGGCGGGGGTCATCCACTGGCACGCGKGCCAGATCGAGGCAGGCCACAACATGATCTGTAAGGCCTACCGGATCCTGATGGTGACCCACGGACCGAACCACTCCATCACCAGAGACCTGGAGGTATTTATGTGACAAACATGGCCGCCCTGTCAGGAACATGACGTTAACAGTCCTCTCACCTGCAGTCCATGCGCTCCCAGACGGAGGCGGAGCTAAAGATGCTGAGGGAGGTGGACCTGAAGAACCTGCCCATGTCCAGAAGCTCCTCTGCTGAAGAAAACATTAAAGGCTTCCTGCGCAAGCAGTAAAAATTAAATGTCCAGAAAGAAGAACCTGCAGGTCATAAAATGACCCGTTCCTCTGGTGGGCCCGAATCTTTGGAAGGATTCAAATAAAACTGGAGTTTCTGCTGTTTATCTCCTACAAAAACCAGTTTCATGTTTCATCTGTTAAACATTCATGACATCCAGGTGACCGAACCCAGATCCTGATCTGATCCTCCAGAGGTCAGGAGACTTGACTCTGAAAGAGTCTGGATCCAAAGTTCTACAGAGGTTCTGAAGCTTAGAGTCACAAAGTTAAACAGCTTCATTTCAGTTAAAAACCTTTTCAATAAAACGCTGAGAAATTCACTGAAAATCATCAAAGACTAAAGAACACAAGCTAMAAGTAGCAAAACAACTTGCTAAAGGCTAAAAGAAGCAAAGCATCTGCTAAAGGCTAAATGTAGTAAAACAAATGCTAAAGGCTAAATGTAGTAAAACAAATGCTAAAGGCTAAAAGAAGCAAAGCATCTGCTAAAGGCTAAATGTAGTAAAACAAATGCTAAAGGCTAAATGTAGTAAAACAAATGCTAAAAGCAGCACGTGAAGACAAAACTGGAGCCAGAAGCTGATTTTAATAAGAACAAAGTTTTTGAAGGAACTGAAAAGATCTCATGTTTCTATGGAGAAAATAAATAAAGGTCAATATTTGAATAAGTATTTGAACCAAAAGTCCCAGCAGCAGTCTGCTGAATGAGCCGAATGTTTAGATATAAAAACAGCTAAAAAGGACAAACTGTTCAGAAGTAGTAGCTTAATTAGAAACTCATTTTATTCAGTAAGAAAAGGCAGAGGGACCTTATTAAAAATCCAAACACCCGAACTTTATGAAAACRTAAAAACAAACATTTAGAAGATCCCAGTAAAACATGAAGTCATCTGCATAGAGCTGAACTTCCTGTGTTTCTGAACACACTAAACRATGACACCGTATTTAATTTACCTTCATGTCTTCATCCTAAAAGTAAACATTTATTCATAATTTACCACAAACAGGAACAACTCATTAAATAAGAGTTTAAAATAAAGTTTAAACAGAAAAACATAAGAGTGAGTGTCCTCCACAGTCTGGGAGCTGAACTTTATTCAGAGCTCCAGATTTAGTGTTTTCCAGAAGACGTCCAATCAAATGCTACGATGACCCCGCCCCTCTGCAGAGCACGGTGGTGGCAGCATCATGGAGGTAAATATCAGCTGAACATTTATTTTCCAGCTGAAATCTAAGAATCGTTGCTAAAAAGTACCCAAATCAAACCATAAAGTGACAGCGACGTGCTGGGGTTCCTGAGAAGCTCCGCCCCCTCCTCCATCTCATTGGACAACACAGAGCTCAGTGTTGGACTGGTTCTGAGTCCCTGCTGTCCCGTCAGAGTCTCTCTGAGTCCTGCTGGGTTCCTGTGAGTCTAGCTCACCTGAGGGGGGCACCAGACTCTGCCTGATCTCCATCAGAAGCTCCTTCCCGTCGCTCGCCGGAAGGTTCCCCAGGAAGTACTGCGGCGCCAACTCCACCAGCCTGACGCCGAGACAGGAAACACTCAGAATACACAACAAGCAAGTCCTGAACAAATACATCAAACTCATGTCCTCATGTCGGGGCGGGGTCAGGTCTGACTTATGTAGGGGCGGGGTCAGGTCTGACTTATGGAGGGGTGGGGTCAGGTCTGACTTATGGATGGGCGGGGTCAGGGCTGACTTATGGAGGGGCGGGGTCAGGGCTGACTTATGGAGGGGCGGGTCTGGACTGACTCACATGTGGGGGTGGACCTCTGAGGCGATGCAGATGCAGTTGTCGCTGGAGACGGTGAACTCGTGGTACAGGACCCAGCTCGGGGGGCTCGGGCTCGCCTGGAGACACAGGTACGAGGAGAAGGGGTGGAGGTGGGCCACGTGGCGGTGAGTTATCAGCAGGTAGTTCCCGGCACCGTCGACATCATGAGCCACCTGAGGAGGAAGCAGGTGAATCATGAAGGTCCAGGTGTTTGTAGGACTGTGACCCAAATTAAAAGGTTCTGTAGGAACTCTAACTTCTCCAACAGGAAGTTCAGATTTTCTATAGAATAATCTGATAATCCACTTCCTGTTTCTCTGCATTTGAACTGAAAGAACACAAAGTTCTGATGGAGACGACAGGAAGCAGGAAATACAAACAGAAAACTCAACAACTTCAAACATTCAGGTCTTAGGTTCTTACTTTGAGGAAGAAGCCTGAGATGAGCGCTCGTTTAATGTTCGTGCAGTTGTCCTGACATCCAAACGCTGGGGGAGAAACAGGAAGTTCTATCCTCTGCATCACCTCCAGAAGCTCCGCCCTGATGACCGCCGCCTGCCGTAAGGCGGTGTGACTGAGGAGGTTGGCGGTGCACCACGCCTCGTCCTGGTTGTCTGTAACACAGAGCGTCACATCGTTCAGCTGGTGGCGTTTCAAACACGAGTGTTACTGAAAGCGGGGACAGGTGCGTACGCTCCATGAAGGCGTGGTAGATGTTGATGAGGGTCATGTGATCACCCTCTGCGTGCATCAGAGGACGCCACACGGCCACGGCCGCTTCCTCCGTGTTGGCTTCTGCAGCCATGAAACAGGAAGGAGCTGCAATGAGACGCAGCAAGGTTAAAACCAGTGGGCGGGGTCGATCAGGCTCCACCCCTCATGGCAGGAGGTGGGTGTGGCCTCAGAGACCGTCAGAAGGTGGTCACCTGTTAGCATGGCGGCGACAGTCAGCAGCTCGTCCACGCAGTCGTATTCGCAGGCGGCGATTAGAGATTTGGCGAGCGGCGGCTCGAGCGGMAGCTCCGACATGATGATCCCTACTTCTGACAGGTTCCCGTCATCGTCCAGCGCCGCCAGGTAGTCCAGGTCCTCCAGGGCCTGCATCAGGGCCTCAGGAGCTGAAYGACACCAGTGTCAGACACAAACACCTGGACTCACATGATGTTCTACAGGAAGTTCCTGACACGCACCTGGTCTGTCCAAGAACTTGCACTGGCCCATGTCAGCGATGTCAAGTCTCTTCAGCAGCAGGACCAGGTGGCTGAGGTTCTCCTCGGTCACCCCGGGACAGTGGGCCTCCTCCATCCCATCCTCGTACAGGGACTGAGGGTACAGACGAAGACACAACCCTGAGGAGGAACCAGGAGTTACCGACACGTAGAAACAAAGATCTACAGTTTGATGTTTAAACATCTACAATCAGCCAGAACATCAAGGCCACCTGCCTCCTCTGGACCTCTGAGGGTCTGCTTCAACAACAGGTAACCAGTCAGGGGTCATAATGTTCTGGCTGATTAGATTCACTGACATCATAAACTAATATTAACTAAAATTACCAGGAGTTAGATTAAAAAGAGATATTTAAATGTTTGAAGTAAATCTTTGATCTCAGATCTTTCATCTTATGTTTTAGATCTTTTTTATGTCTTTGACCTTTGGTCTCAGATTTAATGTCTTAGATCTGTCATCTTACATTTGGCCTTAGATCTCAGAGTTTTCATCTTTCATCTATGTCTTGTATCTTTGGTCTCATGTCTTTGATCTTTGGTCTCATGTCTTTGATCTTTGGTCTTATGTCTTTGATCTTACATCTAATGTCTTTGGTCTTAGATCTTTTCTTTGGTCTTATATCTTTGGTCTTAGAGCTTATGCCTTTGGTCTTGGAGCTTATGTCTTTGATCTTTGGTCTTATGTCTTTGATCTTTGGTCTTACGTCTTTGATCTTACATCCTATGTCTTTGGTCTCGTTTCTTTGGTCTTAGATCTTAAGTCTTTGGTCTTAGAGCTTATGCCTTTGGTCTTGGAGCTTATGTCTTTGATCTTTCATCCTATATCTTTGGTCTCGTATCTTTGGTCTTAGATCTTAAGTCTTTGGTCTTAGAGCTTATGTCTTTGAACTTAGATAGTTCATTGTATGTCTTTGGTCTTGTATCTTTGGTCTAGATCTTGTCTTTGGTCTTATGTTAGATCTTATTATTTGGTCTTGTACCTTTGGTCCTTGAGCCTGTTTTTGGTCTTAGATCTTAAGTCTTTAATCTTAGATATTTCCTTGTATGTCTTTGGTCTTGTATCTTTGGTCTTAGATCTTATGTCTTTGGTCTACCTGGGAGCGGACTGTTGACCCTCTGAGTCCTCATGTCAGCCTGGTGTTTACTGATCCTCATCAGGACCTGAGAGTTCGCTCTGATCTGTGGATTGTAAACCTGTTCAGGATTAAAAAAAAGGTTGAACTCATGTCAGGAGTTTTCCCATCATGCTTTGCTGCAGGTCGATCTCTCAGACACTCACAGCTTTGAGCTGAAGCCCGGTGTCCACGACGTAACGAACTCCCCTCAGGGAGAACGAAGCCTCGGCCAGAGAGTCCGTCAGGATGACCCTCCGTTTAACGCCCGGACCCTCAGAACCGCCCGCCTCCTTCTGCACCGAGGGGTCCGGGTCGTAGACCCTCTGGGTCAGACCAGCCAGTCCGGCGTGGAGGGGGAGGAGCCTCAGAGGTCCCAGCTGAGGACTCAGAGCCACAGACTCGTTCTCCAGCAGAGTCAGACACTCGTCGATCTCCTACAGGAAACAGGAAGTGACTCGAGCTTTACTTCAAGTCTGAACATGTTAACAAAATAAAAGATTTATTGAATTATGATAATCTGTGATCTAATCTAATCTAATCTAATCTAAGTAAATAGTTTCCTGAGGGTAAGAAAGTGAATTTGGTTTTCAGCCCTCTGAGGCCCATTTCACGTTGTTTTTGGTGGTTTTTGGTGGTTTTGAGGGGTTCTGGACCCTCCAACACTAACAGTAAGCTCTGTCACGTACTGCTGCCAAGCTAAAAATCCCACATTGCTGCCACAGATAAAATGCCACATTTACCATCATTTGGCTYAAATTTTAGTTCATCACTGTGATCTCCAAACCAGCGTATGTTCATATCTTTAAAAAAATCATTTAAAGGAGTTTGTTTGTGACAATCCTCTCAGTTTCTCCAGGAACTGTTCTAGTTTTTATATAAACGTCTGCAGCAGGACATCTGACACGCAGCAGAGCTGAAGTCCTCTCAGGTTTCTCCTCGTTCACACAGAACCAAACTGAACTCAGGACCAGAACCAGGTCCAGAACTGGGTCAGTCTGACCGGTTTTAGTTTTTTATTGTTAAAAAGACAAAAATGAGAAGAGAAGCAGCAGCTCAGGTTCCAGCTGAGAACAGCTTCCTCCTTCAAACCTTCATGTTTCACTCTTTGTTTGTTTGTTTGTTTACTTCAGAGTTTCATGTTTACAAACACCAGCTGGTCCTGGAGTCTGGACCGGGTCAGTTTACCTGAGGACCGGACAGGAACACCATCACGTCTCCCTCCTCTCCTCTCCGGTGCAGGTCCAGAACCATGTGACAGGAAGCTGCCGCCTCCTTCCCCGACAGCTCCCTGTACATGACCTCCACCTCCGGGCCCGGGGGCTGGGCCGGGCCGTCCGTGCTGAGGTGAGGGACGGAGGGTCCGAGGAAGGCGGTGAGGCGGGGGGCGAGCGTGGGGTGGGACAGGAGGACCACCCGGAAGCTGTCGGGTCTCTGGCAGCAGACGTCACAGAGCAGACCCAGCAGCACGTCGGTGGGGACCGTGCGCTCCTGGAGCTCGTCCAGGATCACCACACCGTACTGACGCAGCAGGGGGTCCGACATCATCTCCTCCAGCAGGAGGGCGTCGCTGACGAACCTGAGGACAGAACCAGAACCCACAGTCAGAACCAGAACCCTCAATCAGAACCAGAACCAGATTTTTTAATGACGTCTTGATGATGTCACGTTTCAGGTCAGTTTAATCTGAGACTCTTTGGAGGGAAGGACAACGTCCCAGGAGACTTACCTGAGTAAGGTGTCAGGTGTGCAGCAGGAGACTTACCTGAGTAAGGTGTCAGGTGTGCAGCTGTCGTCGTGGGCCACCCTGTAGCCCACCTCCAGGCCCAGACTCAGGTCCATCTCATCGGCCACCCGGAGAGCCAGACTCACCGCCGCCGCCGAGTGTGGCTGAGAGCAGCAGACCAGACCGTGAGAGAACTCGAAGGAGAGAGCGAACTCCACGCACCACTGAGGAACCTGCAGGAGAACCAGGAGAACACTGAAGGTTCTACAGCAGAACAAGGAACAGAACCAGGAGAACACTGAAGGTTCTACAGCAGAACAAGGAACAGAACCAGGAGAACACTGAAGGTTCTACAGCAGGATAAACATTATTCTAAATTAAATCTTCAGGTTCAAGGAATTAAAATTTTATTTGTGGTTTATGTATTATTATTTTTACCTCATGGCTAACATATTGCTACTGTTAGCTCATGGCTAATACTGTATATTGCTACTGTTAGCTCATGGCTAATACTGTATATTGCTACTGTTAGCTCATGGCTAATGTATTGCTACTGTTAGCTCATGGCTAATATATTGCTACTGTTGGCTCATGGCTAATATATTGCTACTGTTAGCTCATGGCTAATATATTGCTACTGTTAGCTCATGGCTAATAAATTGCTACTGTTAGCTCATGGCTAATATATTGCTACTGTTGGCTCATGGCTAATATATTGCTACTGTTGGCTCATGGCTAATAATGTATATTGCTACTGTTAGCTTATGGCTAATGTATAGCTACTGTTAGCTCATGGCTAATATATTGCTACTGTTAGCTCATGGCTAATATATTGCTACTGTTGGCTCATGGCTAATACTGTATATTGCTACTGTTAGCTTATGGCTAATGTATAGCTACTGTTAGCTCATAGCTAATATATTGCTACGTTTAGCTCTTGCCTCTCATTCTGCGTCATTTAGCCCTTGTTCTGTTTGTTTTAGCTGCTGCTCTCCTGGCTCAGTTTTAGCTGATTTAGCTCTCGGCTGCTCCTGTTTGCTCTGAGCAGAGATCACTTCCTGTTGTGCAGCTGATGAAGACGATGAAATGAATCCTGAGTAAATATTTGCTTAAAGCTTTCATCAGATCAGCCAGAAGGTGTGTCTGTGAACGCCTCATAAACATCACCTGAAGCTAACGCTAATGCTAACACAACCGTAACTCAAACATCAGAACTACAGCTGGTTTGAATCTTCAGACTGAGCAGGGAGCTAAACGTTGATGTTTGACAGGTGTTCAGTAAAACCTGGGAGGGAACAGGTCAAAGGTCAAAGTCAGCTGATGATCATGTGAGTCTAATTAACAGATTCATCAGATGAGTGAATGTTTGTTAACCAGGTCATCAAACTCAAACCTGTGACTTCTGTTGGTTTAAACTTTAAATACATTTTATTTAACATAAATACAGTTATTATTTATAATACATAGTTTTACAGAACAGAATCTGTTTTAAATTTATTGAACTTTACTAACCTGCAGAATCATTAAACTTGTTTTTAATTAAATAGTTTCATGAAAATGTTTGAAGTTTAAAAT